AAATATAGCCTGCCCTAAGAAAAAAATCAGCCCCCATGCCCCAGGCCCACCTACCTCAGGCCTCAGCTTTAAAATACAGCTGGCCCCAAGTGAAAAGCAGCCACTGGCTCCAGGCCCCCAAAAGAGAATATACCCATGACCATATATAAGGTTCAGGAGCTTTGGTGGCATACTGCTTAAGGGATTTGATTGTTAACCAGAAGGCTGGCAGTTCAAACTCACAAGCTATCCTCAGAAGGAAGACCGGGCAATCTACTTCTGTAGAGATACCACCTCAGAAACCCAAGGAGGGTTCTCTATGAGTTGGGACTGACTTGATAGCAGTGAGGTTTTTTTTTTTTTGTTTGTTTAGACAATATTTCCACATACATTTTTGTTTGTGCTGTAAGAATGTCCATATATATGATATAGCTAATAAGGGGCAAAGTTGATTATTTCTTTTAGCCACAGCAAACCACCCTGGGGGAATGAGTTGCTGGACCTGTGGGGTTGGGACCATGGTAGTGAGGGACATCAAACTCAACTGGAAAAACACACTAAACAAAAATACTGTTCTATATCCTACTTTGGTGAGTGACAGCTGAGGTCTTAAAAGCTTGCAAGTGACCATCTGGATGCAACAATGGATTTCTCCTCATTCAGAGCAAAGAAGAATAACAAAAACCAAAGACACATGGAAACAATTAGTTCAAGGGACTAGTGGACCATGTGAACCTCACCCTATATGACCATGATACCAGAAGAGCAAGAAGGTGCCAGCTACCACTGTCAAACACTCAGAAAAGGATCAGTGCAGGAGATCCTAGATAGAGTGGGAAAACAATGTTGAAGGAAATTCAAAATCATAAAAAAAAACAGGTTTACTGGTTTGATAGAGCCTGGTGAGACCCCCTAAGATGATAACCTCTATTTACCCTTCAGGTCTGGAAGTGACAGCCAACAAACATAGGCTTACAAGGTAAACATTTACATCAGGTAGATACACTCCTTAGAAAGATCAATCATAGGAGAACAGAAGGGCAGTATTTGCACAGGGAGACAGCTCAGGAGGAAGGAATGAATAAGAAAGGGCACAGGGAAGAGGTAACTACAGAGAGTAAGTGGGAAAGAGAGCTGCTACATTGTGGGGATTTCAGTTAATGTCATGAAACAAAATGTGTGTGAACTGCTGTAGGGAAAATGAATTTGTTCTTTAAACTCCCACCCAAATCACAATAATTTTCTTTTTAAATGCTAGCTAATGGGGGGGGGGGCGCTCTGTTGGCATAGTTCCTAAGGCATTTGACTGCTAACCAGAAGGCTGGTGGTTCAAACCCATCAGCCAGTCCTTGGAAGGAAGATTGAGCAATCTACTTCCATAGAGACACTGTCCTGGAAACCCAAGGAGAGGTTTCTATAAGTAGAATCAACTTGAAGGCAAAAAGTGAATGAGTGAGTGAGTGAGGGAGTGAGTAAGACTAATAGGAGAAGGCAATTACTTTTTCCTGGATAGTTAAGCTTTCCAATAACCAAACCAACTCAATACCATCAAGTTGGGTTGATTCAACTCATAGTGACCTTTTCTTCTCACTGTCGTCCAGTTGGATTCGATTCATAGCAACCCCTCCTTGGGTTTCCAAGATGGTATCACTATGGAAGTAGATTGCCCAATCTTTCTTATGAGGAGTGGCTGGTGGGTTTGAACCACCAACCTTCTGGTTAGAAGTCAAATGCCTTAGGCACTAAGCCACCAGAACTCCTAATTTAAGCTTTAGTAAAACTTAAATCCATGTAAAATTTTTTTATGGCCATTTTCAGAGCTCCTCAAATATTTCAATGAATAAACTTTTGGATGAACTCATTAAAAGAATGACTTTATTCCTGGTCTTTCTCTACCAATCAGGCCCACCTGGGCTTTTATATCACCTGCATCTGTTACTGGCAAAGATCACTGTGCTGTTTTTGCTGGGAACTTCAAAATCCTATTTGCCTTTTTTTCCCTTCTTTCAGTTTATCCCTTGTCCCATTTCTTCTACCCACTATTATACCTGCCACCATCTCACTTGTTGCCTTGGCCATCACAATAGTGCTGTTTGTTTCCTTATCTGTTGTCTATTTCAGCTGGAAGAGCATTCCTGGAACAAAGGACCAAATACCAAAACCAAACTCACTGCCATCAAGTAGGTTCCAACTCACAGAGAGCCCTCTTTGGGTTTCCAAGGTGGTATCTCTATGGAAGTAGATTGCCCAGTCTTCCTTCCAGGGTTAGGCATACCTTAGTCTTCAAAGAGACATCTTTGTTTTTCAGCACTTTAAAGAGGACTTTTGCAGCAGGTTTGCCCAGTGCAATACGCTGTCTGATTTCTTGACTGTTGCTAACATTGGTGTTGATTGTAGAACCAAGTAATATGAAATCTTTGACTAGTGGAATGCTATTGCTGTTGTTGTTATGTACCGTCGAGTCACATCTTACTCATAGTGACCCCTCCTTGGGTTTCCGAGGCAGTATCACTACGGAAGTAGATTGCCCCATCTTCCTTCCGAGGAGTGGCTTGTGGGTTTGAACCGCCAGCCTTCTGCTTAGCAGTCAAGTGCCTTGCCACTATGCTACCAGAGTTCCCAGTGGAATGCTAGAGTCTCTCATCATATCCTTTGGTACATTGTATGTAAAAGTTATTCATACTGGCTATAAGTAAATTAACAATTAAAAAAAAAAAAAAAACTCAACAAACTAACAAAAAATAGTGCTTTATTCCCTGATGACCTCACCTGAAACTTACTGTGTGATAAAAATAACATCAACAATAATAACACTTTATATTTTGCATGAGAGTCTAAAATCAGAGGCTCATGGTGTGTGTAAATAAAGTAGTTTGAAAGGTAAGACTTAATTCCATTTTAAAGTCTTAACATGAGTCTAGATTCCTTGCTGAATTTTAAATTTGTCTTTTCTAACCATAGTTCCTATAACTTCTATATTGACCTAACCACAGCCTAAAAGAGACATTCTTTTCCCTTGAAGTCTGTCAGGTGTTGGATAGCACAATCCATTCCAAGAGGGTCTTTTCTCAATGGTTAAACAGATACAAGATGCAATAACTTGTGCCAAAGGGTCTTGATGCTCAGCATTATAGATAAATCTTTTTGAATGGATCCCCAGAAACAGACATATTATCTAAAAGGCAATTTTAAAAGCAGGTTACCAGAAAAACCTATCCTGCCATTGTCCTGTGACTATTCTGTAATAAACTGAAGAGCAAGCACCCTTAACCAATCATGTAACCTCACTTAAGTGTTATCCACCTAGGCCTTGTTAAACCCTTGCTTTGAGATATCCTGCTTTTGAGTCCCCAGACTGTCTTTCAGTCCATTATGATTTGGTGACTTTCAGTTTCTGCTCCAACTGTACAAAACTGTTTTCTTTCTCATTGTCTGGTGGAGTGGCTATTTCCACACTCTGTGAAGTTGGATGTCTTCCCAGTCTGGACTGTCTTTGGAATTTCACTAAATTTCTTATTTTGCTTTTACAGAGTATGTGTTTTCATTGTAGGACAATTTGTATGGTTAAGTCACATCGTGATCACATGTAATTTATAGGTCTGACTTTGGAAAATAAATCACATAGGAAAAATCCATTATCTTGATTAATCTTTCAACAGCAAACAAATCTCTTAATATGCCTTGAGGTTAAAGAGGAATGATGATAAAGAACAGCACTTTGCAGATAGGCAGAATCACTTGAGGATTCTCTATTTACCAAGGATTCAATTGTTCTCTACCAAGTAGAATGGTTTGCATGGGAAGACACCAGTATTTCCTTTTTTTTCCTTCCTTTAGTTTCAATAAGTTCTCAAACGTTGTTGTTGTTGTTATGTGCCGTGGAGTTGGACCTGACTCATAGTGATCCATCCTTGGGTTTCTGAGGAGGTAACACTACGGAAGTAGATTGCCCAACCTTCCTTCCCAGGAGTGGCTGGTGGGTTTGAACCGCCAACCTTCTGGTTAGCAGTCAAGTGCCTTAGGCACTAGGCTACCAGAGCTCCTTCTCAAACATTAATCTACATAATTACTCAACATAAACCCAAAAATACTTTGCTTTACAAGGGGCTTATGGATTTTCAAGAGTAATTTTGATTATCTGACTTATTCTTTACCATCTCATTCCTGAATTGGAACAACTCTGTTTTGCTTTAGGAGTCTCTGGGTGGCACAAAAGGTTAAAGGTTAACTGCTCTACTACTAAGTGAAAGATTGGTTATTTAAACCTACTCAGCGGTACCTCATAAGAAGGTTTAAACCCATTCTGAGGCGCCTGACAATCTACTTCTGAAGTCACAGCCTTGAAAACCCTATAGAGTACAGTTTTACTCTGCACACATGGATCACCTTGAGTCTAAATGAACTCAACATTTAGGTCTTTGTTTTTATGCTTAATATTTTCTAACACCTTTTTTCATGAATTATTTTACCAGGAATTCAAAGCAAACCTGCAAGATGGGTGTTACTCTCCTCATTTAAAAAGAGGAAACAGATAAAAATCAAGGCTCAATATCTACTTTTAGTTCATTGGGAATATAGGAATTTTCCAAAAAAATATGTACAGTAGGATGCTTTTATAAAAATGGCTATATATCCTCCCTGAATCCAATCTTTTCATTAATACCCTCCACAATGACTCTGGCCTTGGCTATGTGATTTGCTTTACGCAAATGAGTCTCAAGCCTGTTGGAGAATGAGAAACATGTGGCCCAGTCACTCCAATCACACAAAGGATAGTGAGAGAACACCCAGAAGCTGAGCTACAAAGATGATCAGTAGCTGTCTCCAGATGCAAGAGTGAGTCCAGAAAACCTATCCACCTGAGGTCAGCACAAATTGCCAACCTACAAAATTACGAGCTAGATAATTGCTTGTCATTAGGTTTGATGATTTGTTATACAGTCAAAGTTAGCAGATACAACATGACAGCAAAGATACCAAGATGGTTAATCTTAAGGGAAAGACCTTACCATAGCTTGCACTTACTTAGATTGTTGGTAAGAATATGCAGGTGCATGTTCGTTGGATGTGTCCACTGCTATCTGTTGCTGCTGACCACTGGTGTCCTGGGATGATGGTGCCACTGTCTGGGGAGAGGTATCGGCAACAACACCCTAAGGAGGTAAGTAAGACTTAATTGTTGTAGCAAAGGGCTCTCTTCAGGTGGACTGGGGAGAATAGTCCTTATCTATTTGGCATGAGTAGAATTGTTTCTCTCACTCACATGAAAAAATAGCAATAAGTACTCAGAGGCAAACTGTGCAGGATATTTGGATAAAGAGTAAGGAATTCATTCCAATGTGCCACCAAGAAGTTTTTCCACCAGAAATCCTTGGAAGAACCAAACTGCAGAAAATTATTTTGCCCATACTTTTAAACTATGATAGAACACAGTCACATCAAATAACAATTTATGAATTAAAAAATTCTCATGCAGGATTCTAATAAAGAACTGTATATTCAAACATTTTCACCTGGAGTCGTGTACTATGCCTATGCCTATATTATTTGACAAAACACTGGAAGCTGGCCTTGATAAAAGTCTGTATCAAACTTTGGATTCATTTTTAAAGGACACCATTAAGTAGAATTTTTCTTCAACAACTTGGTTTGATTTGTTTTGTTTTCCATAGCGATGACTGGAATTAATTTAGACGTTTCATGAAAGAAAAATAAAAACTTGTCCTTAATTTTGGTATGCTTTGCCCCTCACCCTTTCTATTTCTTGTTTCTCACAGATGTCAACAATGGTGAATTTTTGGAGGTAGTCATCACCAGGGACATATGTTTGGTTCTGAAAGAGGTATAAGTGGATTTATTTGGTCATTATAAGGAAAGAAACCCTGGTAACATAGTGGCTAGGCAGTAAGCTGATAACCACGAGGTCAGTGGTTCAAACCCACCAACTGCTCTGCAGAAGAAAGATGAGGCAGGCAATCTGCTTCTGTAAAGACTATAGCTTTGGAAACCCTAAGGGGCAGTTTTGCAGTGTTCTTCAGGTCAGTCTGAACATATTCTTCTTGTTTGATTTATAGCCTTGGACACCTGAAATAATTTTGGGTTTCAAATGTTCCTGGTCAATTCTTGGTCACTCACTAAATGTCTTTGGGGAAATAAAAAAAAAAAAAAACAACACACACACAAAACCACATAAACCCTTGATTGTCCTTTTGAATCTGAAAAAGCTCACTATATTAATTTAACTTTTAAGAAGTGCTGGTGGTGTAGTGGTTAAGGCATTTGGCTGCTAACCAACGGATTGGTGGTTCAAACCTACCAAACCTACCAGCTGCTCCATGGGAAAAAGATGAGGCAGACTGCTTCCATAAAGACTTATAGCCTTGGAAACCCTATGAGGGTTGCTATGAGATGGAATTGACTCAATGGCACTGAGTGTTTTTTTTTTTTTGGTTATTCTAATGTACTGTTTAGTATTGTATATTTTTCCTGAACCTCTCACCTGCATCTGTTTGTGTAGATGCTCCTGATTTTTTGGTTAAGTGTTTTCACACAGAAAATGAATAACTGCTTTTCTTTGTAAGCACAAATTCAAAATATATTAGCATGTACTTACATTTCTCTCAATGACAAACCTTTTTACATTGGAGATTTAATTATAAGAATGCTTGCAATTAGCCACACAACCAAATGTGTCTCATTATTTTATACTCATCAAAATGCTCAAATTTTACATATAAGTATATACCTTTGTCAGAGACACAGAAATGTAAGTATGTGGCAGAGATTATAAAGATTAATTAATAAAATGGATTTAACTAATTAAATGTAAGATTTAACTTAGTCTGTAAGGATCCCTCTTACAGGTTTAAACAAGGCTAGGTAAGCATGACTGCCCTACAAAGTCAGAAATGATGTGGGATTTCCAATCTCTGTACCTCTGGACCTTGGGAGAATCATGGTGGATTTTCACACAGAATGGTGCCAAAAACACGAGCTGGTCATATCAACTCCAGAGTAGGCCCAGGGGAAGGAAAGCAAGGAACTGTGGCCATGATGGCACATGTGTATCAGGAGAGAGTGAAGAGAAGCAAGAAGAACCAGAAAGAAGAATACACATTTAAGTGTTTTACTACCACCTCCACAGCTCTATGCTCTCTCCTTTTCCAGGTAGCTTCATGATTCTGTCCCCAAAAAATGATATGTGGAAGAGATGGATTCAGTTCAATGGAAAGAGAAAAGGAAAGAGGCAATGCTTCTATTAAGTACAATATATCTTCATGATTCATGGTACCCATAGAAATAAGAGTGAACCAACATTTTGTTTCTTATTTGGAAGAAGCCAAAAAATCATCACGGTACATTCCCTAGAGCAGTGGTTCTCATTTTTGGTATATGATGGAATCATCTGGGAGACTTTAAAAGTCCTGCTGGACAGGTCAGGTCATAGCCCAGCCAAATTAATCAGAGTCTTTGGGGATAAGACTCAGGCATCAACATTTTGTAATAGTGTGCAAAAGAAAAAAAAAAAAAAGGTGAGAACCAGCACACTATCCAGTGCCTCTTAAATTTTAATATGCATGTAGTATTTGCTAAGGGGTCTTGTTAAAAATGTAGATTCTGATTCAGTTGGTCTGGGTAATGTCTGAGGGTCTGCATGTATAGCAAGCTCCAAAACCCCCTTAAAAACAGTAAACAAACAAACCACTGCCATTGGATTGATTCCAACTCATCGAAACCTTATGTGTTACAAAGTAAAACTGCTTCAGATATTCTTGGCTGTAATCTTTACAGAAGCAGATCACTAGGCCTTTCTTCCATGGCACTGCTAGGTGGGTTCAAACTGCCAACCTCTAGGTTAGTAGTCAAGGGCAAACCATTTGTGCCACTCAGGGACCTTCAACAAGCTCCCAGGTGATGCCAATGATGTTGGTCCAGAGACCACTTTTTGAGTAAAAAGGCCCTAGAGAAACAGCTTAGTCAAATAGCTATAAACTTTTCTCCCTTCCGTATTTATTATTATTTCTGGTTATTGATGGAGTAGTGATTTGGTCTCTGGTCTTTTCTCTAAATATGAAAAATCAAACTCCTTTTATACCTCTGTGACAGAAAACATTATTTCAAATACAAAGCCAAACAGGCATATTTGAGTAAATGAACATATGCTAATTCCTCACTTACCAACGTGGTTAGGTTCTAAAGATCAGGTCATTATGTGAAAATCAGGGTAATACGAAAATAGAGGATGACCACATCACCTCACCTCCTCACTTGTACTGTGAATGTTGCACTGGGCCCCTGCTGAGGTCACCTGTTACCATAGCCTTTCACCCCATCACCTCAGGAGAGTTGGTACCCACCACCTCCTGAAGGGGTGGGCCACCCCATCTTTCAGAGTCAGGGTGGCCCAAGCACCACCCCCATCCCTGGGCTCCTCTCCCTCTCTGGCCCTCATCGTATTTTCAGGATGTATGGTCCTGGCTCATCTCCTCAATGACCCCAAAATACCCATGTTGGCTTTGTCGGGAGAAGGAGGTCTGTGTGCCACAGGGTGTGCACTGCTGCATGCTGGGTGCCCTTGCCAGCCCCTTCTCTAAGCATTGCACAGATTCTACTGGGCAGCTCTGCTCCCATCAGCCCCCATGTCTCCATGAGAATCAACAATGAAGAGGTTCCTCAGAGACTGTGACAACCAGGCCAAGCCTTTGCCCTTGATCTTAAACTTCAGTTGTTGCTGGCCACTCAAGCACTGACCCCAACTCTGCCCAGGTAGTCTGCCCACCCTCAATAATGATTGCTCAGGAGGGGTCATGGAGGAAGCATAAGGGGCAGTACAGGTAGGTGCCTGTTAGCAGATGCAGGGTCCTCTGGGACCCAGGCATCCAAGTGCTCCATCTTAGGGCTCCTTTTGACTATGGGCCAGCCCATCTCTACCACCTTTTGTGGCTGGGAGCTGGGGTTAGACTCCAGGGTCTTGCTTCCTCCGTGTCTCTAAGGTTGGTCTACTTTTTGGGCATCAGCTGCCACTGCCTTGGCCTCTGTCCCCTGTGGGCACCCACAACCAGTTGGACAGTGTCCTGTCCCTGACAACTGGACTCCAGCACCTGCTCCTCTCTGCACAATATCCTAGGGGTTTGGGGAGACCATGCCCATTCTCCCCTCCTAGGTGGTGAAATACTGTGCAATACAAGCTTCCTTTCTACATGCACATAGTGTCTACCAGTCAGGGATCCTATCAGGGACCTTGGCCGGACATGCACTGTTAATATGCAAAATCATCAGATAGTAAATGTTTTACTATTGTTGTCAGTGTGAAATGCCAGAAAATGAGATAACCCCTAACAACTTTCATATGCTGAGTTTTAATTTCAAGTGTTATAGCAGCACAAAACTCACACAGGAGGATTCCTTGGTTTATGAGGGACCACATTATATGTATCTGAGATTTATCTTCCTTCACTTGTTTCTGTAAGACAAGGATAGACTTACTTCAATAGAGACAGCTGTTGGAGGCACAGGCGTGTACTGGGGAATGTAGGTCCCTTGCATAGGAGCGGCAGCAGTCATATACTAGAGGGAATCAAAGAAAAATGCATGTGAACTTGAAGTTAACAATGGTAACGAAAGTTGATATTGCATAAGACTGAATTAGCTGTGTGGTCCACATCTAATGAATGATTAGTCAGACTCTATTTTGACCACAAGTAAGGTAGCTCATTGAGCATAGAACCTTTGCTTCCAGATTTAACACCAATAGCAGCCCCACTTCCAAAGTATCAGTACAGATTAATGTACCCCCATCCCCTCACTCTTATTAAATACTTTCTGTTAGATTTCAAAATATTTCTCAGTTCACATATAATTCAGCTCCATGAGGGCAGGGACGATGTCTTATTTTATTTTTCCCCCTCCATTTTATTGCTAGTACTGATCACATAGTAGGCTATCAACAAATATTTGTTGAATGAATGAATCATCCTACTAATTGTTGGTAATAAATCCTTTTCTAACTAAAACACAAATAAAAATAGAGGAAATACATATGTATCAATGCTCAGAATTGACCGTTATTTTTTTGTTATTTTGCGTCTAAAACAGAGCATTACAGGGAATAATGAAGGCACCTTTACTCCCTTCCTCCATTCCATTGTCATGTCCCTGTCAGTTATTTTCTGTTTAACCCCTTCAATCCTCATAATTCTAACCATTGAGATGAATTATGAAATGGTCAAATCATTTTTCACTAAGTTGTAATTTTCAGTAAAATACTTATCAGAGATAACATGTATTTTAGCAATGTAGAAAGGATGCCCATAGAAATTATATGCTTATCTACATAAGTATGAAATACACTCCATATTCTTATTTTCAATACAAATTCCCTCTGATAAATTTAAAAATTGTACTTTTTGATAATTTATTTTTCTTGTAGAATCTACTAAGTTTCTGAAGTTCTAAACATGCCCTACATCACAAAACTTTAGAACCAGAATCAGTTAGTGAAGAGTTTCTAACTTAATAAAGGTTACAGGAATGATTGTGATGGAAAAATAACAATGTTTCTAAGTCTGTATCCTTAATTTGCTGAGTTTAAATACTAAGGTTGTATATAAATACACAAATCCTAAATCATTACATTTTCCATATCTTGGTACTTTCAGTTTCCAAGAGACATGATGATTCTTCATCAAGAGAACTATCAAAATGGAGACCAGCCCATTAGTTATTAATGTTGCTAGATATTCATGGTGGATTTTACCACTTTCAGAATAAATGTATCTCCATTAATTAAATGCTATTCTACTGTATTTATTGGTCACAAAGAGAGACTATCTTAATGAAATAACCCTAAATCAAACAAACTCCAAACTAGTGTCTGTAATCCATGTGCTGCTACTAAGGACGAGTAAAATTCGTATCTACACAAGAAGCTACCATGTAATTGGACCAAGAGCAATTATTGAGAGGCCTGGTGATACAGTAATTAACAGAGAAGATTTCTGCACTCTGTTGTCTTTGCTTTCCTGGCACTCATCACCTCTTCTATTAAATTTGTATACATTATCATCTTCTTAAGGGCATGGACAGAGTTTTATTTGCCTCTGTATCTCCCAACACCCAATGCCTGGTCCTCAGTAAATAATTGTTCAACAGATGAATGAAAGGACACAGATAGAACTCTTCCATATCTACTGATTAGAAATCTTACATGCTGCTTGGCCATTGATATTTCTGAGCTCATTATAGATATTAATTTCACCCGCATGTGTGTTTTGTTTAACCTTAAAAAATTTTTATAGCCAACTCTTCTAATCAGTGTCCTTATTTCCTTATGTCGACAATACATACTCAGATATGTGATGGCAGTCAATTCCTTAAATAAGTAGAGAACTTTAGAGTCACATTTCAGCAAATAGTTCACACTGAAAACTCTATGACAGTTATATGCCTTCACAAGAGAACTTCCTGACCATTTCAGACAGAGATTGCCCCATCTTCCTTCTGCAGAATGGCTGGTGGGTTTGAACTGTCAGCCTTCTGGTTGGCAGTCAAATGCCTTACACACTGTGCCTCCAGAGCTATATCTTTTGTATAGGTTTTAAGTATTTCCTAATTTATTATTCTCTGCAATGTGTTTTTGGAACACTAATTCCACTGAGAAAAAAAGCTTCCTATATTCTGATGTATTTGAGTAATGCTGCATAATATATCTTTTTTTTTTTTTTTCTAAATTGACCTACAATAAATCATGTTTTACAGAAACCAATTTAAAGATGGTTAAATCAGCATTTTCTTTTCTTTTAGGGGAGGGTGGTAGAGTGGTAAAAACAAAAACACTCACTGCTGTCGAGTTGGTCCCAACTCATAACAACCCCACCGTGGGTTTCCAGGGCAGTATCTTTATGGAAGCAGACGGCCTAGTCTTCCTTCTGAGGAGGGATTAACCAACCTTCTGATGAGCAGTCAAATGCCTTAGGCACCACGCCACCAGATTTTGTTCAGAACTAGTGCTCTAGGTAACATACTTAGGAAATGTGTCTTTAATGAAATCTCACAAATCCCAGTACATCTATAGCAAGAGTAAGTATATTATTACCAACTGTAAATTTATCTAGGCACAGAATTGATACTGTTCAGGCTCATCTTCTCCCTTATGGCCATGGTTTTAAAAGATTTACTATATATTAGTAAAAGATAGCAATACTTTGAAGACTAAGATGCACCTGACTCAAGACGTGGTATTTTGAATCATCTTATATGTGTGCAAAAGCTGGAAAATGAATAAGGAAGAAAAAAATAAAATTTATGCATTTGAATTATGGTGTTGGTGAAGAATATTGAATATACCATGGACTGCCAGAAGAACAAACCAATCTGTTTGTTTCATCTCACATACTTTGGACAAGTTATAAGGAGGGACCATTACCAGAAGAAGGATATAAACCTTTGTCAAGTAGGTCAGTAAAAAAGAGGAAGACCCTCAGTGAGATGGACTGACATAGTGGCTGCAACAATGGGCTCAAATATAGTGATGATTGTGAGAATGGAGCAGGACGGGGCAGATATTTGTTCTGTTGTCCATGGGGTCGCTATGAATCAGAACCAAATTGACAGAACCTAACAAAAATAGTTAAGGGATCATTGGTCACCAATTTGAGATTTTCTTTTCTGGAGTTAGTGATTCTAACTTCACAACTAGGCTTAATAAATTAGTATGAGTGCCTTTTCATAAGAAGATAATTTCACTGGTATCTAGATTATAGTTGGGCCCATAAGTACTTCTGTGATCCAGTGTTAGGGACATGGCTGTGGTCATGTAGAGCCATGTTCACTAGTTCACAATAGAATTACCCCATCATAGAGACCTCTCTTGTCAAACTAAAGAGCTTCCCAGGCAATATGTTTCAGGAGAAACATATTACACGATTCTTAGCTAAGCTTCTTCAAATAACTCTGAGTTATCCAAAATCTCATCTGTGTTCTATTTTAGTAAAACTGAATCTATTAACCTTGGCTTCTCCCGTGACACACAATGAAGTTGCAAACGTACCTAAAACTGAACTTTTTATGAACAAAATACATACTTATTCTCTCTTTGAACAGTTCAGTGAATTAGGCAGGATGGTTCTCTCATTTCATAGATGGAGAATCTGAGGCATGGATAATGGGAATGATTCCCAATTCTTGTGACCCACAATTCAGCATACTTTGCAGTCTAATTCATTACCTTCAAAATTAAGTAAATAAGGTTCTAGAGCTTCGTTTTGATCATTACCATGTGTTATAGATAGCAACTTGTTCTTATTATGGGCTTTCATACTTGGGAAGCCCTGGGTAGCACAAATGGGTAAGCATTTAGCCACTAACCAAAAGGTTGGCAGTTCAAATTCGCTCAGCGGTACTTCAGAAGAAAAGCCTGGGAATCTACTGAAAATGCTAATAAGTATAGTTCTACTCTGAAACACGTGGGTAGCCATAAGTCAAAATTGACTCAATGGAACTGGTATGAGTTTCATTGTTGTTGTGGTCAATGATTGAAGTTACAAGTAAAATAAGAAATACAGAATAATATGCCTTTGATTGACATTTTCATTGTTATTTCTTTGCTATACATATTTTTTCCTTTCACTTCAATCCAGAATGCCTGATTTCCTCCAGGAAGGCTACTCTGCATCCTTGGTAACTTAATTTTATATTGCTCTTCTGAACAGAACTGATGCAGATTTTATAGTATAAATGAGATCAGCTCAGGGCAATGTGTTATATGTATGTATCTAAGTGTATCTGTGATGGTTATGTTTGTGTGTCAACTTGGCTAGACCTGGTTGAGTGGTTGGGCAGCTAGATATAGTATTCCCCATGATGAGACTGGTAATCAACTCCACGGTGGAATCTACTGGGAGCAGCTGAGTAGCTGCCTTTGGGATGTAGTCTGCTTCCTGTATATAAGAAGAAGCTTTGAGAATGGTCTCTAGCCTATGGCACACTTGGGCCCTGCATGTAGCCGTGTCATTGCTCAGCAGCCTGCTATGTTCTGCCGACCTTGGGACTTACAGTAGACTTAAGTGAATGGCCTGCCGTGTGGTTTGGTAACATTGGGACTGTGCCTTTTGACTTGTCAACCTTGGGGCTTCTCAGCCTCAGCAGCCAACAGCTGTCTGAGTGAAGAAACATCTCTAGCTCCAGTGGGCTGGGAGCAGGAGGCAGAGATGAACCCCAAGGTTGAGGGGCTTTTACCCAGCCCCTAGAGCTTGGCACTTTGAACTTGGACTTAAAGCCTCCAAATTGTAAGAATAAACTCCTGTTTGTTAAGGCCATACCATTTGTGGTATATTCTTGTCAGAGCGGCACTAGGTAACCAGAACAGTACTTTAACTAAACAACAACAACAAAATATTCTGGTTGTTTTTCTTTTGTTATAGAAAATCTAATACACAAAGCTTAACAAAGTTCTTTGAAAATTAAGGATAGACATTTCCTTAAACATGTCAAAGCTATGGAGTATTATGCCCCTTAAGAATAGTATCTCTGTATAAACTTGTGCAATAAAGCTGTTCTATGGTAGACAC